AGTTACTGCACAGACAGGGCTGTGTCTCCTGAGGGGGCCCGGCGGCTGCCTGGCGGGCAGCCCTCCAACGGGGAACCTGGAGGCAGGAACAGACACACTTCCCCACAGAGAACACGCACCTCTGAGTGAGAGCTGGTGCGGTGGGGATGGTGTTGGAGATGGGGACCGATACATCGTGCAAATCTTTAGGTTCCAGGCCGAGGGGTTTAAATCTTAATCTTCATGGGAATACTACTTGCTGACATTTTTTGAAGGGAAACAGCCATTTCCATCAGGTAAAGATGCCGTTGATTTAAGATCCATGACTGCAGGACATGTGTTGTAAGATGCGGCATCCCCGGATCAGGGTTTAATGAGGCCAAGGACTTGAGAATCGCCCTGGCAGGCGGTCAGTCACCAAGAACACCAGTTTTGCTCAAACACAGTCTCCGCACCGCACTGGATGGCTGTTCTGCAGATGCAGACACACACTTCGAACAAAACCACCAGACCAAGCGGAATCACAACACCGAAGATGTGAGATGCCCACTCGTCACAGCTGGGCAAGGCGTCCACTCAGAGGACAGGGGCTCTGCCTCGTCCCCAGGTGGCCCGATGACACCCTGTGCTCAGCAAGTGCTTGTGAGCCAGTGAATGAGGGGTTTGGGGGACCATCGTACCACCCGGGCAGCCCCTGCGTGGAGGAGCTGGGGTCTGTGAAATTACTCACATAGCACTGGGGCCTTCCACGTGAGGGCCTTGCAAATACTTGAAGCAGCTTCTTCTCAAGTCAAATGTCTCTATTCCATTCCATGATTTGGCACATATCTTTATTTCCAAGGCTTCCTACTGTCCCGTGTCTGGGCTGCATTTGGTCAGCCCTAAGACCTATGGCACCCAGGATGAAATAGAATTATTCCCCACTGTTGTCTACCCAGCCAGAGTGGACTCTGTGACTACATCTTTCCAAGCCCTTCCCAGCTCTTGAAAATTACATCAAATGGCAAGAGGATGCTGACAAGGCCACACAGGGAGGTACCACGCACCCCTCCCGGAGGCTTAATTCATCTGTGAAGGAACCTCTGTGAGGGGCTAGATGTGGAGAGATTCGTGACGTTTCCCACTCCCTCCCTCGGACCCGGACCGCAGGAGAAGATTCCTGGGAGCTGCCCTTTCTGAACAGAGGCTCAGTGAGCACTCAGGAACCTGGGAAGTTCGTCTCCCACTTTGCGTGGTGCATTGAACCACAGTGGCCCGGGTGTGAGTGTGATGCAGACATGGTAACTCAGTACCTGAAATGGAAAATGCAGTTTCATTGCCCCAGAGATTTATTTTTTTTAATCCTCACCTGAGGATATTTTTTTATTGATTTTTAGGGAGAGTGGAAGGGAGAGGGAAAGACAGAGAGAAACATTGATGTGAGAGAAACACATCGATTGGTTGCCTCTTGCATGAGCCCTGACCAAGGCCCAGGCTAGAGAGGATTCTGCAACTGAAGTACGTGCCCTTGAGCAGAATCAAACCTGGAACCCGTTGGTCTGTAGGCCAATGCTCTACCCACTGAGCAAAACCAGCTAGAGCAGTTTTTTTTTTTCAAATAAGTTGCTTCTACTTTTATTACAATATTGGATCATTAACTCATTCACCTTAATGTTGGGTAATGAGGCCCTCAAAGCAAGTGATACAAATGCTTTGCTTGCAATGCTATATTTAGAAACTCCAATTTTATGGAAAAATCTTTCTCACTATTAAAAGTATTTGCATTTCTTTGAGAAACTTTCTAGAACGCTTAGACTCCCATGCAATTAAGACCCTACTGTGATTCAGAACCAAAGGATTGGAGGACAGTGGTGAAGTGTTTCTCAAGTTATTTAAAATGTGTCGTTATAAAGTAGAATTTATTCTAGAAATGGCTGAAAATAGTCTGAAAAGAGATAGTTTTCAGATAACAGTCTGGGACACAGAACAATAATAGTTTCAAGAAAAAAATTTTTGCCTGGCCAGCGTGGCTCAGTGGTTGAGCCCTCAACCTATGAACCAAGAGGTCATGGTTTGATTCCCATTTGGGGCCCATGCCCAGGTTGCAGGCTCAATTCCCCAGTAGGGGGGTGTGCAGGAGGCAGCCGATAAATGATTCTCTCTCATCATTGATGTTTCTATCTCTCTCTCCCTCTCCCTTCCTCTCTGAAATCAATAAAATATATTTTTTTTTAAAAAAAGAAAGAAAATAATTCTACAAAATGATATTTCTTTTATTAAAAATATATGATAAAAATTCTATCTTAAACTAAAAAGTAAACTTGAAGAATTAATAGTGAATGTAAATTAAGGGGAAAATAATGATCTATTGTTTTACCCATTAGCTTATAGAAAGTTTGAAAGGCAATAACATCCATAACTGATGAGAATAAGTCATCGTCAAACTTGGTCATTTGAGAACAAGTTGCTACAAATTAGAGATAATCACCTGGAAATGTGTATTAAATGTAAAATATTCATAGATCTGAACAACAATACTGCTTTTGTATCTAAGGTACATGCATCAAGCTGTCTGTTGCAGCATTATTCATCACAGTAAAAACTAGAGAGAACTTAAATGTCTATAATATGGTTAAACGATGAAAAATATTATTTGACTGTAAAAAGAAGCATAAAATAGATGTTGATGTTAGTACTGGAGCGGTGACCTTGGATTAAAAATAAAAAGTTACAAAGTAAGATAAAGACTATAGTATTTTTTCTGCAAAACCAAATAACAACATGTGTCACACACATATGTCATGGTGTGTTTGCAGGAGCATGAAGCCTTTGACACTGATTCCCGGCACGAAGGCACCACGTGACTAACAGCAGCTGTCCCTCCCTCCCCAGGAGCCGCTCCACGTGGACATGAAGAGAAGGGAAGAGAGCTTGCTGCTTGCACACAGCTCCCCACGCCCCCGTGTTACTGCCTGGACACGTGACATGGAAGCTCTGAAGCAGCCTCAGAGACTTGGAATGGAAAAGTGATGAGTTTTCATATGCGTCTTTTTCTGATTTTAAAAAGTTACCACATAATATTTTTGGATCTTAATATGAAACTCTAAAAAAAGTCGTGGTGGATCTGCTTAGGAGCCACTGTGTGTGAGGTGGGGGTGAGGGCAGGAAGGAATTGGTGTAATTACCAAGAAGAATAGGGTGTCGTCCCCTTCCCAGCAGCTTGCCATGGTCCCTCTCTGGCCCTTCTGGCTCCACTGCACCCGAGTCCGGCACAGCTCGCTGTGAGCACGGGCAGGGTCAGCCGCTTTGCCAGGGGTCCCCTGTCCGCATCCTCAGCCTGGTTCCAAGGGTGACCTTAGCGTTTGCTTCCAAGTCCACATGCGCCATTTCCCACCCAAAGGCCCTGCTGTGCGTGAGTGCCACACAGGCCTTCAGAGAAGCTCTTTTCCAGGAGCTGCCTGGACACGTCTCAAAACCAACAGCCACCAGGGAGGGCGCTTGCTCTCAGAGCCAGTCGGTGGTTCCAGCCTCAGCACCCTGCACGCAGACAGAGCAGGAGGTGTGTGCCAGCTCCATCCTGCCCAATGTCCTGCTGGGTGGGCTGGCCGTCATCCCCATGAGTCTAAGCATTTAGCAAGCACGGGCCAGGCCTCTTCATTGTTTTCAGTGTCTAGCAGACTGCTTGGCATAATAAGTACTAATAAATGTTCATTGCATGACTGAAAACGTAAATAATGAAGCATTTAATGACTACCTATTTAGTACAAGAACACAGTTTATCTACTTCTTGAGTAAAACAAGAACAAAAGTATTGCTCTGCATCACAGCTTGGAGACTAAACGTGAGCCTCAGAGAAGGTAACTGAAGCGCGAGTAATCTGTGTAGTGCGAGTCTCGTGGAGAGAGAACGCTGTTGCGAGGTTGGTGAGAGACCAGCTGTGAAATGACAGGTCTCTGAGAGAAGTGCCGCTCGCCCACGGCTGGGAGAGCCCCGTCTCAGGAGCGCAGGGCTGAGGGTGCTCAGACTCAGTCACCAGGACAAAAGCAGAGCTGGGTGAGTGCACTTTATGGCTGTGCTCACCACATTTGGGTTTTCTCTTGTGCCTCCACTTTGATTTTGTTCCACTGTAATCATAAGGCACATCCTCAGTGGACCTCAAAAGATTAAAAACCAAATACTACTTTAGAAGTAGTTATGTAAATAAGAAATCAGCTGAATATATCATTTGTTACGTTAAAATACACAACATGTATTTCCCAACCCTGATGGTAACTTCCAGTTTCGCAAAAACTCTTTAACAGGGATGCTCAGCTCTGACGGGGCCTCGGCTGGTCACTGGCCCGTAGGCATGGTGCTTGGACCAGATGCTTGCTTTCTCTTTGCTTTCCTTTCTTTTTCCAAACTCAAGGAGGTAGGCCGTAGTATCTCCAAGATCACTCCCTTCTCTAACATGTTAAGATTTTGTCATTTAATTCTATTACTTTCCAATTATAATTCTACTTCAAGCATAAAATAAAACCACCATAATCCCGCTATCTCAGGTCAGCACAGCTTGTTCATATCAACCAGCTTAAGAGAGATTCGTAGGACGACCTCGCGGGCACAGCAGAGTGGGCGCTGTATCAACAACTCCACTGTGCTCGCTAATCACATCAATCTAACGGCTGCCAAGCTCTCACCTGAATGCTCACATGAACACTCAGATGTCCACGCGCCCATTCGCCGAGGGCATCAGCTTTCCTCCTCCACCGGAACGTGGAAACCTGTGCACGTCCGTGGTTTTACTGTAATTCTCAGGAATGAGATGCTTTCCGCACCCGGCGAATGTGGGGATGAGTGCGAACCCCCTGGCCTGCTGCTTCCCGGGTGGGCTGAGGACCGACCGCCACGGGCGAGGCTGTGGGATGATGGGCGGGGCGGCGCGGGGCTGCTGTGGGCGGGGCTATGGGCCGACAGTGTGGCTGTGGGCGGGGCCGTGGGCGGGGCGGGGGCGGGGCGGGGGCGGGGGATAAAGGCTGGAGCCCGAGCGGACCGAGCTGAGCTGAGCGGAGCGGAGCAGCACCGCGACAGCGCCCGGGCCCGCGGCTCCTGCGCACAGACCCACTCGTCCTGACACCGCTGCGAGTTGGGCAGAGTCCCACCTGCAGTCGCCCCTCATCTCGGCCTCGCAGTTCTTCGAGATCTGGCTTCACTTCGACGCTGACGGTGACTATCTCCTCTCCTACCTCTATCCCCCCGTCCGTCCCTCCCCCCAGCCTCCAATCCCATCCCCCCCCCAGCTTCTTTTCTTTACTTCTCCCTCCTCCCGCTCCCCAAGCTTACCTCCAGCCTGGCGTAACTGTGAACTTGGAAGTTTAGATATTGCGTCTACATTATTCTGAACCGTAAACGTATTTCTCTCCAAGAAAGTGGGGCGCAGGGACTGGGGAACACTACTCCTCAAAGGTCCCATGGCCATGCTCAGCACCCCCACACGGGCAACCCAGGTCCCGGGGGAAGGGAACCTCTGGGGTGGCCAGAAAGACACCTGCCCGGGACACTGTCTGACACCTGGCGCCTCTGTCTTGCAGGGAGTGGGTACCTGGAAGGCAAGGAGCTGCAGAGCCTGGTCCGGGAGCTCCAGCAGGCGCGGAAGAAGGCGGGGCTGGTAGGTGGAGTTCAAAGGAGGAAAATACAGATGTTCCACATTCGCATCAAGGGCCAGCAGGGCCCAGGTTTCTAGGGCGTGTGAATTCTATTGACTGAGGAAGGGGCAGAAGAGGGCCTTTCCGAATTGTGTCGGGTGAAGAGGAGAGACAGACAGAGAGAGAGACAGAGAGGGGGAGACGGAGAGACAGACAGAGAGACAGAGGGAGAGAGAGAGAGACAGAGAAACATAGATATAGATAGGGAGAGATACTGAGAGACAGAGTCGGAGAGAGAAAGAGAGTCCCTAACGGGAAATCCGTGCAGACTCAAACCGGAGGGTTGAAGTCCAGCTTCTATGCTTGCACCCCCTTCTGGTGCCTAAGAGGCAGGTGTGCGTGCGAGCCCTGTGGGTCTGCGCCCGGGACTGGGTTGGGTTAGGTAACTCCCAACTCCCCTCTAACTGCGTGAGCAGCCGGGTAGACAGCCAGTCTGCCCCTCCGCGGTCAGCAGCAGACCTGCAGATAAGGTTCCTTTTCTATTGCCAGTTATGGTTGTGGTAGGGATGTGGTTGGAGAGATCGAAAAATGACCGCCCTCCCTAGGGAAAGTGGAACAAGTTGCAACATGATAATGAGCAAAAATTTAGCAAGAAAGGTGTTCATCTCTGCCCAAAGGGAGAAACCCAAAAGTTAGAAATGTAAAAAGTAAAGAAATTTTAACAATTCAATGTTTTTAAAGTGATGCTCTGATGGTAAGCAATTAATGGCATTTTGAAAATAGCTGTAATTGTAATTTAATCCACTAGTTAATTAAACAATTCTTACGAATTCTGAATGCCCTCCTTTGGTCATGCTGTTAAGAATATATGTTGTCAGCATAAAAACAAAGTGCCCACCTTTAAATCGCAGACGAAATGACTGTATAAAGGAAAATAGGTTAAGAATTTTACTCATCTATTGGGATTTATGGAAGACTGCATTTCAGAAGCAGTGCTGGGTGGGCTGTTAGCTATACTCTTTGGCTATTTGACTACCACTAGAAAGAGATTGTGTATGCAAGGTGGGGCAAAAGTAGGCTTACAGTTGTTTGTATGAAAAATAACACAATACTTAATACGTAATATAAGAATAAACTCTGTGTTCTGTGTACTCATGGCTACAAACCTACTTTTGCCTCACCCTGTATATATATTTGGAGGAAAATATAGGTGTGTGTGACTCTTAGCAGATCACCACCTCTAGCATTGAGTTATAATTTAAAAATTACATATGTATGTATAACTTACTAATAGAGTTACATTTTGTTCTATGTGTGATACACATCTATGTTCAACATGTTCAAAAAGAATCCCAGAGGACTCTAAAATGCAATGCATCACAGAACTATCAGTTGCTAAAATCATTGACAGAATCAACTTAAAGCCAGACAACATGCTGGGGATTGTCTCACCCAGATTTAGACTGTATAACCTGGAAGTATAACTGAACGGGATCAAATAAAATAGAAACTGTTTTACATTCTTTCTCTCCCCCTCCTTACACATTACCATGAAAATAAATTTATGCAATACTATCATTACACCTCTATGTATCTTTTACTAATAAAGCAAAAACAAGTCTCTTCATCATTCAAAATATATATTTAAAATATTTGCTTGGAAAAAATCTTACTTGTTAAAAAATTTCAAATTGAAACCTTGTAAGATGCTTCCAGCAAATAAATGAATATATTTTAATTTTTCTAGAAGTAATTTTAAAATTGAGATTTATTTTCATCTTAGAAATTCAAATATTTAGAAACTATACATTTCTTCAGATTTTTCTTTTCCTCTTCCCATTTTAATATTTGTACTTTTTTATAAATACTGACTTTATGTTAGAGGTTTGGAGGTTTCAGAGCATAATTTTCTTTTTCTACTGCCTCGGCTCCAATTTTAGAATCCTGGAAACTTTATTGTTAGATTATAACCCAACAACACCAAGTCTGAACAGACACAGGGTGATAGCAAGGTGCTTGGTCCCTTGATCATTGACTCTTTTTTCTAAGATGATTTTAAGATTTAAGAGCAAATGCTTTGTTCTCTGTGTACTCTAAGAATGTACATTCGAATGGATAGTCCCACCACGGTCACTCTCACTTTTTTAAAAATATTTTTTTATTGATTTCAGAAAGGAAGGGAGAGAGAGATAGGAACATCAATGATGAGAGAGAATCATTGATCGGCTGCCTCCTGCACACCCCACACTGGGGATTGAGCGGGCCAGCCAGGCATGTGCCCTGACCGGGATCAAACCCTGACCTCCTGGGTTCATAGGTCGACCCTCAACTGAGCCATGCTGGCCGGGCCACTCTCACTTTCTTACAGTTGTTGCTATAGTAAATTTAATAAATACAAGTTAAAATTAATCCGTACAGGAGGAGTTTTTGTTTTAAATATGCTTTTATTTATTTTTAGAGAGAGAGGAAGGGAGAGGGATAGAAAGATAGAAACATGGATGAGAGAATCAAGTGCAGCCCGGGCATGTGCCCTGCCAGGAATCCAACCAGTGACCTCCTGGTTCATGGGTCACTGCTCAGCCACTGAGCCACATGACTGGGCTAGAAGAGTTGTTTGTTTGCTTTTTTGTTGTTGTTTTTAAATATATTTTATTGGGTTTTTTTACAGAGAGGAAGGGAGAGGGATAGAGAGTTAGAAACATCGATGAGAAAGAAACATCGATCAGCTGCTTTCTGCACGCCCCCCACAGGGGATGTGCCTGCAACCAAGGTACATGCCCTTGACCGGAATCGAACCTGGGACCCTTCAGTCTGCAGGCCGACGCTCTATCCACTGAGCCCAACCGGTCAGGGCATGTTTGTTTGTTTTTAAGACTACATTATAATTAAATTGCTTAATTACTATCTGCTTCTTCAGTTCTACCAACAATATTTACTTTGGTTCAGAAAGGATTTTGTAAACTTGTAGTCATGATATTCAGCCTCAAAATAGCCCTTAGACTATACTAACTGGTCCATCCCTAGAGCAAACGGCTGCCTCTTTCTAGTTATGACAGAAACTGAGACCTTAATTTGTTTTGCAAGAACATAGAATGTGCAGCAGTAAAGGCTGACCTATTTTAAACAGGCTGTGACGACTTCAGCAGGGCTGTTTCCAATGGCTACATTCAACTTCCTGAATACTAGCCAAGTATCATAGTGCCTAGATCTCCCTCCTGTCAAAAGGGAAGAGACTGTAAGCAATAGAACAGATTGGGGGAAGCCACGCAATGGATGCATTCAGCAAGTCACTCACACGTGCCTTATTGAACTGAAGTTCATTTAGTTCAGAAAAAGTGGAGACAAGGAAGCGCTGGGATGCAGGACCCATGACCAGTGGCTTAACATCAGATCATCAGCATCTGTCTCTAGTGAAAGGACAAGTCAGTTTTTATCTGACACATATTTTTCTGATGTTTAATTTTTTTACTTATTTAATCAATGGATGCCACATTCCTGCTTTGCTTAACTGAAAACATGTAGAATACCTCCCAGGGGCAAGAACGTTCCGCACAGCTGGTGCCACACTAGGAGAGACTCTCCTCTGAGCACGTGTAAAGAGATCATTATCTTTAACTCATGAAAGCTCATCAACTCAACAATGCTGATGACATTTTAAAGGATAGTATATTCCCAAAACTAATAATAGAAGAAAAATCATAGCAATTGGTTCAGAAATGATCATGATAATTATAACTCCTTCATTGAAAACCAGCATATACTGTTTATCCGTTGTCTTTAATTTTCATGAGAATAGTTCATCAGTATGAGTAGTTCTAAATGGTTCCAATCCCAGTTTTTCTTTGCAATAAGTTATTAACACCATCACAAGCATGACTGGGTTTGGGTTTTATTCTCACAAACTTTTTACTCGCTTTTATATAATTTCAGGAGCTATCATCTGAGATGAAAGCTTTTGTGGAGCAGTACGGGCAGAAAGATGATGGAAAAATAGGAATTGTAGAGGTAAGAGCCATGTTTTTCAGATACAGTTTGAATAAATGGCCTTCATGTTGTAGCCATATCCAACTCAAATATGATATGGCAAGACCCTTTAGGGAGGCTTATGTTGCCTAAGTATCAGGTTATCTTCTGCTCAGAAATATAAAATAAAACATTGGAGTCCTCAGCCTACATTTAGATGAGACACTGGGACCAGGGCCAGAGAAGGGATCTGCCCACACAGGCCAAGTCCCCGACGTCCGGGCTCACTCCCAACTGGTGAGTGTACCTGCCTCGCTCGGTGTGACGCCTGCCATGTGCATGGCCGCAGGCGTTTCTTACCAGTCAGCACTGTTAAACATAAAGTCCCTGCGACAGTGTCAGAGCCACAGCCTGGTTTCTGAGATTCTATTTTGAACTGGCAGCGGGCGTGTTAAGCTCTGTTAGAGGTCCCTGGAAGTTCAAAACACGGTGCCAGATCTTAACTTTTGATGATGACTTCTGCCTGTGAACCAAGGAGGCAAAACCGTCCCACATCAGTGCTCTGTGCCCCTCACTCAGTCTCCCAGAGGCTGGTGCCTCAGCGGCTCCGTAAACCTCGCCACCTGTTTCTGTCTCTATTTCCATGAGAGAAATCGCGTGCACAGCCTTCAGAAAGTTCATACGCTCCTTTTTTAAAAGACGCCACATCACGAGGGTCCTTATGTTCTTTATGTCATGTCCTTAGTCTACTGGACTGTGACATCCTGAATGTTACGACATTTAGTCATAATTTACCTTTGATTCTGAGAACTAACCTGGTTTTCAAGTAGTTGATCTCACAGGACAGCTGCGTGTCAGTGTGGAATACACTTCCTTTTAAACCGCTAGTACAGATCGAGTTACAGAAGGACGTACTATTATTATCTTTGTAATTAAAGTATTTCCCTGGAGTCTGCACTCCCCTCTGCCGACATGAAACGCATTGCTATCTGAAGAGGTGGATGTATAGCAGCAGGGCTTGTGACTGAGAACCAGGCCAGCGGGTGCAGGGGGCGCGGTGCCCACGCAGAGGCTCACAGGTCAGCGAGGCAGAGTCAGAGGGAGGGAGGCTCCTGCGATGCTTTAGGAGGCTCAGGGGATCCCACACGTGGAATTTTTGCGAGATGGGACCCTTGGGAAAAAACTAGCCAAAATCCTCATTTTCATGATGAGGAGACTGAAGCCAAAAAGGTTGAATGATGCATACAAGTGCCCTCAGGAGTGATAAACCCTGGATCTGGCTCTGAGTTCCAGCCCCGGCTCAGGAGTGGGGGTGCTGACAGGTGGGGAGGGAGGAGCCGCCGGGAGGTTCCTGTGAATGTGAGTTCTGCCCAGGGTGTCCGTCAGTGCAGAGGGAAAGGAGAGGTTCTGATCATCACTGGGAAAGAGACGGGGAAGCGGCCGGAGGAGTGAGGAGCCGGCAGGACGAGGTGCCCTCTCCTGTCACAGGAAAGGGGCAGTAAATCAAGTCCATCCCTGCTGGTTCCCACCCTGACACAGGTGGCACCTGCCAACACAGACCTCCCAGCCGTGAAGGAAGGAACCCGCATGGGCCCGAATTAGCATGCACCCGCCCACGCGCCACCTGCCGCCCGGTGGTCACAGGGAAAGGCTGGATTTGTCTAAATGCTATGCCCACTTCAGAGGTGACTAAACCTAATCCGGGTAAACCAAACGCCGTCAGGCCCCGTCTGCTCTCAGACTGTGGGGCTGTAACTGGAACGTGGGTGGGAAAGATCCGAGACACAGGCCAGTTTCCGTCCCCACGAAGGTGACCACCCCCTCCAACAGCGTGGCTTTGACACCTGGACACACAGACGCAGTTCCGTGATCGAGAGATTGTTAACATGAAGTCAGAACAGGGGAATTGGATTCCCAGGTAATTTAACAAACACCATGGCAGTCAAGGGTGCTCTAAGTTGGACTGAGACGAAGGACTCGATTGCAGAGAAGGCTGGTTCGAATAAAGAGGGAGACGAATGACTCAGGAGATGACGGAAATTCTCCTCGGAGCTCCCCTGGCAGGAGGCGGGTCCCCGAGCTTGCGCCTGACCCTGGTCATGAGCGGAACCCGCCCGCTCTGCCCCTCGCTGCATCTGTCTGTCCAGGTCACTGCGTCCACTGCAGAGATAGATCTAAAAGCTATTTTAGTCTCATAACTGCAGCAGCCTCTGAGGGAAGCCGGCCTCTCTAGCCGTCCCCTCCCTCCACAGCGGGGAGCGGGCTCAGACCCGGGATGCGATGTTCCGGCAGCTGCTCTTTCATCTGAGACCTTGGGGGAGTGACGGACAGTGAACTATGATTTGAAACTGCACTCTGGATAGAATTTTTAAATGGTTTATTAGGAGAACTTTTTGACTGAGGTTTTAATTAAGGGTGATGATGGTAAGGGACCAGGGTCTTAAAATCGAGAAAGTCAGGCTGTCCAACTTCTGATCTGGCTCAAGCTAAAAGCTGCGTCCACACAGCCCATCTGTCCAGAGCCTCTGTCTCCTTGGCTGTGAACGGAGGTGACGTCTCAGTAGCAACATCAAATGTGACACATGTGCCAAGCACATAGGTAAACCCTGGCACACTGCGAACCTCATAAATACATCAGCTACTGTTATTCCAAATAGAAAGGACTCGCTGGGAACCCAGCATACCCGCTGAACGCCACGCCTCCCCCACTTCCTGCACAGCTCGTCATGTTCAAATTCAACCAGACCTCAGTGTAGAGGCGATGGTTCACCTCCCATTTCCCAGACGCACCCTCGCTGCCTAGGAGTCATCCCTCTGGTTCCCAAATGAAATCAAAGGCTCCAGGATTGCCGAGGGGTCAGCACACGGCTGTCTTTGGCGTTGGGCTGCCCGTCGCTGGCAGAGTCTCCCTCGGTGCTGCCCCTGGGAGTGCCCGCCTCCTGGTACCGCTCTCTCGCCCTGGTCACCTCCTGCTTTGACTCACCTGCCCTCTGGAGGCTTCCTAGGGGACTGAGTCCCCAGCCCCAGCTCATGCTCACAGAATAGCCCGGGGTCACAGCAGGAATTTGGGCAACTGCAACCACACAGCAAAGGCTGGGCCACACCAGCACCGACGAGGCTGCGGGCCGCTGGCTCCCTGGGAAGTAGGCCTGCCCGGGAGCGGTGAGGAGGTTTGTTGGCAGGGCTCTCGGGGTCAGTTCCTATCAAAGGGGAAGGACAGAACAGGACTGGGCAGAGGGACCTGGGCTGTGACAGCCCCCGAGACGCAGCGGGCCCACAGTCACTCGGGCTGGGAAGACCCTGCCGAGGTGTCCCCGGTGTTGAGTGAGAGGACGGAGCCTTTGCAGGTCCACGTCCTTGGGGACACAGCTCCTTCAGCCCAGGTCGCCTCCCGGACCTGCCAGCTGAGGCCACAGCAGCCCGGCTCCTGGAAGCAGGTCTGAGGGTGCCTCAGGCCCACCCCCCCACGGGAGGGTCTGCCCAGGAGCAGCCTTCACTCCCCGGGTCAGGTTGGCTGCAGGCGCTGGGCCAGGAAACTGTGAGGCCCAGCCCACGTGCCCCAGGGGTGTGCACACCAGTGGGCAGTGGGGCAGGTGTGAGAGGTTCCTCCGCTCAGCGACAGGCCCTCCTCACAGGTGAATCTGTGTGGCCACAGCTACCCACCTCCCTCTCCCTCCCTCCACGTGTCCACCTCTTCTCTGGCACACGGAGTGTTTTGGAGCTAGAGGACTAGGAAATGACCAGTCATCTTGGGACAGGCAGCAGGACACTTCCCTGGTCAGCAGGGACCTAGTGGACCTACCCTGCAGTGAGGCCGGCACTCGGGAGCCGTGAGACTCAGGGCCACACACGGCGGCACCTGGGGGAGGCGCTGCATCCCAGGCACGGTGCCCATGCTACCCACACAGTGTCTCTCTCTCTCTCTCTCTCTCTCTCTCTCTCTCTCTCTCTCTCTGTTAATCCTCACCTGAAGGTATTTTTCCATTGATTTTTAGAGAGAGTGGAAGGGAGGGAGGGAGAGAGAAAAACATCAATGTGGGAGAGACACATCCATTATCCATTAGCTGTCTCCTGGGTTGAGCCTGCAACCAAGGTACATGCCCTTGACCAGAATTGAACCCAGGACCTGTTACCAGGAAACCCCCGGGTGGGCTCGGGCTGCCTGTCGCTGTGTCCAGTAACGAAGGCCGGATTGAATCACGTACGGCGTTTACTGAGCAGGCCAGCCAGCCAAGAAGACAGGGCGCTTACAAGCATCAAATCCTGCCTCCCAGCAGGTGCAGGGGACAGGTATAAAGGGGAAGGGGCTGGGGTGAGGCTGGGAACCGAGTGCAGCTACGTGCAGCCCTGGGGGTCTGCAGACGTCAGCTATTGTCCTTGTCATCAGGCGATGAGATGATGTGGATGAGATGATGTTTTGACTCCTGGTGGGCCGGCCTGACCATGCTTATCGGGTCTGCTTGCTGGATTCACAGCTGAGTCACCTCCTCCATTGCTTCGCACAGGCCTTGGAAAGGAAACTTAAGAAAAACTTAACCCCTCTTCACATGTAAGAAACTTAACCCCTGTTCACATAAGTATATGTGATCTAAGATTTAAAATGATATGATTATTTTTCAGATGAATTTGGGTGCTCTATCAGATTATAGGTCCCCTATCAGACCCTTTAGTCCTCAGGCTGACACTTTATCCACTGAGCCAACCTGGCCAGAGCCCTGCTTCTCTCTTAACGGCTGGTGTGTATCATTACCTTCTACATGTTTACAATGTCTGACTGTAAAATAGGATGGTGCTGTATTCAGTTTAACATAACAGTTCAGTGAAATTAAAAGATGGAATATGTTGCACGTAGACGTTTTTAAAAATTAATTAAAACGAGTAGGATGAAATGGAATGGGCAAAGAAATTTACACTAAAATGAAGAGTGATTTTGCCATCTCTGTGTTTGACTTCCCAGAGATCTCTGAACTTCATGCAAGATATATGAATTTTAATTTTTGAAGCAAAGATTGTTAAAATTTTCCTAACTTTACCCTTGGTCATTGCTTACTAGCTTTTTCTTTTATTTTTTTTTTTTTGGTTTAATGTTTTTATGTACTTAGTGGATTTTGATAAGTAGAATTTAAGAAAAATTATTCTTTTCTGTTCAAAACAACACACAATAATTATGAAAATCTAAGCAATATAGAAAATGACGGTGAAGATAGTAAAAACAAATTATTCACTATAAATCACATTAAGTGGATATTTTTATGAAGTAACATTATCAGCCAGTGCACAGTCTATGTCAGGCACATGGGGGCTGAGCGTCTGGGGGACAGAGACCAAGAACAATGTCTGCCCTCCGGGCGGACAGGCTCTGGGCGTCCACCCGCACCTCGCAGCGTCTCTGACAAGCCCGAGCCAGCGGGCGCAGGGAGGGCCCTGGCTGTCCCTGACTCCTAAATGAACGCTATGTTAATGCTCAGCCACCTTGCGACCTTCCTTCAGAGTCAATAAGCAGCTGTTTCCTGGCTGAGCCACACTAACATCCTTAGGGACTTCGGTCCGTCCCCCGGTTTCAATCCCCGTGCCCTGCCTCTAAACGCATGTTCCAATTTGAGATAGGATCTCAAAGGTCTAAACCCGGCGAGTTAGAGGGCATGTTGTGCGGCACAGAGAAGCTGAGGTTACCTGCGTGTCAGGTAGAATGATACCGATTATGTTAAATTTTAAAATTTCAGTGGACCTAAAAGGATGGAATTTGTTAAAAGTGTGAGAGTCTTTTCAATAGTTTGGTAGAACCTTGGGCCCCAAGCTGACCTGAAGGTTCCTGCGGAGCCCGGTTCCTGGTGATTTCGGACGGGGCTTCCCACATGGTGGGAAGGAGGCGAGGTGCATTCCTGTGCGCGATGCAGCCTCCTCCCCACCCCCCCCACCCCGCACCCCACCCCAGGCCCGGCACCCACTGCACGCAGGCACCCCAGCTCTATTTCGGCGCCTCTCAGTGGTGAGGATGGAAGTGGCTGGAGGCCCTGGGACCACAGCTAATTAGCAACCGAGCAGGAATAGAACCGGCTGTGCTCGGCCATCAATCCACCTCCCTCCTGGCCCCAGAGATGGATCATGTTCACCCTGGAATGGGAGCTGGAGCCCCCTTTAATTTTTTCCAAAAAAAAAAGCATTTAAGTTTTGAAATGAGATCTAAGGGAAAATGTCACAGCATCATGAAAGGGAAATTACAAAATAAGTCCAAGAGCCGTCTTCATGCAGAGGACATCCACAGCAGTCGTTGGTGACCACCGCTGATAGGGGCTGTCTTCTCACCTCATTCCAGAACCTTCCAATTGTGTTGGGCTCATCTTCCTTCTCGGCCTTGAGGACCCGCTTCTTCCCAGCCTCCTTTCCTCACATCACTCTCCTGCCTCTTCCCTTCAGTGCACGCCCTCGCCCTGCCTCTTCCCTGCAGTGCACGCCCTCGCCCTGCCTCTTCCCTGCAGTGCACGCCCCGCCTCTTCCCTGCAGTGCACGCTCTCACCCTGCCTCGTCCCTGCAGTGCACACCCCGCCTCTTCCCTGCAGTGCATGCCCTGCCTCTTCCCTGAAGTGCACACTCTCGCCCTGCCTCTTCCCTGCAGTGCATGCCCTGCCTCTTCCCTGCAGTGCACGCTCTCTCCCTGCCTCTTCCCTGCAGTGCACGCCCCGCCTCTTCCCTGCAGTGCACACTCTCACCCCGCCTCTTCCCGGCAGTGCATGCCCTCACCCTGCCTTTTCCCTGCCATGCACGCCCTCTCCCTGCCTCTTCCCTATAGTGCATGCCCATGCCCGTGTCCTGTGCCAGAGTGGAGCTGTGAGGCAGATGGAGATCAGGCACAGTTTCCAGCTGAGGGGTGATGCCCTGGTCAGAGGACAGTCCAGGGGATAACAGTGGCTCTTCAGGAACCAAATAGCGGGAAGGGAAAGGCGGTTCCAGGTGGTGGTTCTCCTGGTTTTCTAGGCAGTGAAACTGCCCCAGTGAGCATGTTCAAGGAAAGTGGAGAGGCAGCAAGTGCTATCTTGCTGTTGGCTCCTCACCCTCTGCATCTCTTGCAGCTGGCGCACGTGCTGCCCACAGAAGAGAACTTCCTGCTTCTGTTCCGGTGCCAGCAGCTGAAGTCCTGTGAGGAGTTCATGAAGGTGAGAGCAGCTGCCGAGCAGTCCCGTGCGCTTGGAGTGGGAGGAGCTGTCTAACCTGTGGTTTCCTTCTCCTCACAGACATGGAGAAAGTATGACACTGACCACAGTGGCTTCATAGAGACCGAGGAGCTGAAGGTAAGCAAGGACTCACCTGAGTTTTTTCCTTTCAAAGGCAGTTATGAACTGTGTAGCTTTTTTAAAACCTCCCACAAAGGAAGCTAACATTGAGCAAGGGCACATTATCACCTGCATTTCCACACTGTTGATGAAGAACCAGCTCAAAGAAGAGACCTCAAGCACTTCTGTTCAGCAAAGCCAGGAACTAGCATTCTGTGTGGACACCAATTATTCTATGACATAGATAAATATAATGAACTAGAGGCCTGATGCATGAAGATTCATGCAAGAATGGCCTTCCTTCCCTTGGCTGCCGGCACCGCCTTCGCTCTGGCCCGGAGCCGCCTTTCCGCCTTCCCACGCTGCCCAGAGCCCGGAGCTAGTGCGGAACACCTGGGATGATGCAAGCGTCCTGCCCCACCCCTGGCCACTAGGCGCCTGCATATGCAAATTAACCCACCATTTTTGTTGGGTTAATTTGCATACTCACTCCTGATTGGCGGGTGGGCATAGCAAAGGTACGGTCAATTTGCATCTTTCTCTTTTATTAGTGTAGATACTTGGCCTTTTCACTGAAATGTGATAGTTTATACATTAAACATCTATATAAATAGATTTCTCTTTCAAGAGAAAGATGTTAACAATTATTGGACACAGACTATCTGCCAAGTACGTTACCTACTACCATGTCCAGTGTCTGGGTGAGCTCGGGGGTCCTTTTACCCCCGTGAGGAGAAGGTGGGAGGTAGAGTGAGGTCCTCAGGGCCTCACAGAAATCAGACGCAGGGCCTGGGGGTGGACCCAGCTCGTCGGCCTCTGGCTAGGACCTTCCACACACCATTCCTCTCGACAGCAAAGCCCTCAGCTGTACCCCACGTCTAGCTGATCAGGCTGCTCAGAAATGAGCCATGAAGTGAGCGTGTCTGCCCCTCACACAGGCTGTGGGAGGCTGGTGAGGCGCAGGGGCAGGAGGGACGGCCAGAAGCCCCAAGCCGCCCTCCTCTGGACAGCCTTTCCATCACTCTGCTGGTGCCCACATCCGCGTGAGGACGGCAACAGCGCCTTCCTCTCGGGTCATTGTGAGCGCAGGCAAGATGTTGCACACGGAAGACTGGCTGGAATGCAAGGCGCAGCAGCTCTGTCCTTCATAACCCCCAGCTGACTGGCCTTTCAGAACACGGACGCATCTTTCCTTAGACCCCAAGCCTCCCAGCAGGAGGCCGCTTCCAGGATCTGCAGCATGTGACTCGGGGAAGCACACGTGTTTACGAGCCTGCGCGGTGGTGGGCACGGGACGAGGTGTTTGCACATGGAATCCCCTCCCCCCCCCCGGAGCTTTTCTGAGCAGATGCTATTGTGCCCATCCTACAGAGAAACTGACGTTCAGGGATGTTGGAAAATTTCACGTTTTCACAGCTGCCAGGGGAAAGAGCCAGGTGTGTGCGGTGACGCCCCGACGTTCTCAGCACTGCAGGCTGTCCCGGAACTGCGAGCAGGACGTGCTCCCAGTCATGCTGGACGTGGCGGGAGTTGCACCATCTTATTTAATTTCATCTTTTAAAAGGTTTTAAAATTAAGTTGATTGGTCAACATGATCCTGTAGGTCCGGGTGTGGGTTCGATGATGCCCGATCTGTATATTGCACTGTGTGCTCATCACCCAATCGAATCTTCTCCTGTCGCCATATGTGAGGACCCTGGAGAGGGGCCTGGGCTGCGGCCAAGTCGCTAAGACATATCCGACCAGCGCCTCTGGGAAATGTGAACATTTTTTAGTGAAATCACAAGAGACAATGTCGTTGGCACACGTGCCGTTCAGCAATGTAGAGGCCGCAAGGTGACAGCTAAGCTATTGTGTTTTTATCCCATTGAACCAAAAAAATTCTTTTGAAAATTACTTCAGGTTCATTTCCAACCTCAAAATACCCTAAAGGCCTCCTTCTTTGCTCTAAATCTTCTTCTCAGGAAGAGACACTGAGTAGAGCCGTCCTCTCGGGGGCATCTCGGAGATCAGCTGGCATCCTTCTAACGGCTCTTTCCAGAAGCTAATTTAAGACTGTAATCGAGTGAAGCGCACTTGCTCTGGGGCGCGCGCGGAGCCTGTCCCGCGCTGGCTCCGGGCTATTTTTGTGACCATCATTTTTGTCTCTGGTGAGGACTTTTAACCCAATTAATCTCTGACAAAAGCCTTCTAAGGCTCAAAATAAAATTCACCCCTACCAGATAACTCTGAAGTTTCCATCTTCACTCGGATTGGAGTGGAATGTTGGAAGTGGAAATAATTCATCGGCCCCAGTCTCCTGTGAAAGAAGAGAGCACGGGACCCAAGCCGGGGAGCGGCAGAGCCAGACCCCCTCCCACTCCACGCGCAGACCTCTGTTCCCGGCAGCCCCGCCTTTCCCAAGGAGATGGGGAGAGCCAGCAGCACTAGCCGAGCACCAAAGGCTGGCATTTGCTCACCCAGCGCCGCTGTCATTTCTATGGGAACTCCTGTAAAGCTTTTACCTGTTTAAAGGCATTGACGCTCACTCCTCACCTCTGCCTGTGACACGGACAGTCACCTCTATCACCCTCCCTGCACCCCTCTGTGTCCATGCGATCACGTGTCCTCAGGGATGAGACACATGGGGTGCCCACCTGCATTAGGAAGTCGGCCCGGCCCGCGTGCCGCCCGACCTGACGCTCACGGCCAGCCCTGGGAAGGAGCTTCGTGCTGGCCATCAGGGTGCCCTGACCTCACCCATAGGCTCTCCCCCGAGGCGAGGCCCGGAGTGGCCGTGTTCCCGCTGAGTGGCGTGAGCGTGGGTGAGGGAGCCTAGAAACTCGTCCACTGAGCTGGCTGGTTCATGAGGTTTTGCTCAGATTCCTGCACGTACACAGTCCAGGTACTCCTTTCCCTGAAACCCTAAAAGCAAGTGCCGCGCAGCCAGGAGAGCTGGTGCGGGGGAATCCAGGGCCTGTGGCTCCCCTCTGCTCCTCCCACACGCCCCCCTCGGAGACACACTTCCTCCCCCCTTACTGATGCAGGTGTCTGTGTCTGTCCTAACAGAACTTCCTGAAGGACTTGCTGGAGAAAGCAAACAAGGCGGTGGACGATGCCAAGCTGGCCGAGTACACAGACCTAATGGTGAGACGCCCTCAGCGGCTCAGCCAGGCCCGCTCACCCAGGCTGTGGTGTGAGCAGTGACCGGCGGCCTCGCTCACGTGGTGTCGCTCACGTGAAAAGCTGACTCCCCTGGCCGAGGCCTCGCGGCTGTGCCACAGGCGCCAGATGGGCAAATCTCTTCTCGTGCAGTTGCCAATTTTGTCTCAAAAGATCACTTGTTTTTCTTAAAAGGCAGTGTATTGCATCGCTAAATTCTGTAACTCAGATATATGTAAGTCACATTATAGATATATACATTATATCACTAAATGTCATTCATTATAGAAGTTCTGACTCAATTTTCATCATGACTTAGGAAAGCATAGCTTTTGTTAGAGTTTAGAGATAATTTATAGCCACCTTACTCATTAGAGACTACGGTAAAATGGGTATTTCTGCCTCTGCCTTTTGATTTTTCTTATTTTGGAGCCTCATCTTGGGTGAGGAAATCCAAACATACCTTTATTCTAATGCCATGGGGAACAGTATGAGCGAGCTCTACGGTCAAACGCTGAACATGGAGCTAAGAAAACTGCTTTACACACAGGCACTTCGTGTTTAGGAATGAATGTGAAATACATTATGAAGCCCAGATAGAAGCATCCTCCCTGCGAGGTTAACTAGTTTCAGGGGGGTGAGTGGGCTCACGCTGATTCCTCAGGACCCGGGCACTTTTCCTGAACTGCTTCAGCTGTGGGCAGCACTGTTCTAATTGTTTACCTCTTGGAGTTTAAAGTTTTATTATTCAGTCAGCATGAGTTTGTGAGGTCGCGGTGAACTCTTACCGCGTGGATGTAAATAAATAACCCATACAACGTAAGTGCGTGTTATAAACTTGTGTTATGTTAGGTGGGTTAAGAAGTTAGCCTCTTCAGGTACCCTGAGAAATAACCTTGTAAAGGGTCTGATTATGTTTGACGTCACTGAGGTTGGCTCTCAGCCTGCCAGCCTACTTTTATGAGGGGAAATACCTCCAGAACGTAGCTGTCGCCATATTCACTGCACAGCGTATTTATTATAAAGTGGGACTAATATCTAGTTTCAAAACAAACCATTCTCATGGTGTCCTCGCTGCACCGCACCTACCGAAGCTCAGCACAGAACTGTGTCACGGAGGGCCACCCGGCACCCACCTCTGGGAAAGGGCAATAACCTACATTCACCAGCTGTCCTTGGTGCCGATCTTAAGGGATATCTATTTAGGGTAAAGACTCCTCTCCAGGTAGAGCTCTGAGCGGCCTTTTAAAGCCACTCAAATAGGAGTTTGCATATCTGATTAAATGTCATAAACCAGTTCAAATCGGAGAAGCAAATTAATCAAGAACTAATTAACATTTAAATATATTTGTGGGGAAATATTTCCCTGTGGGCACTAATCCATGTGATCTGGTGTCCAGGGCTTGGTGCTGATATTAGTGCGACAATATCAGATCTTATGGCCAACGAATTATAAAGTGTGTCAGCATCAGACCCCGGACACATCTGCCTCCCCCCAGACACACCTTCCGTCTGTCCCCAAAGAGGCCCCATTCTATCACATTCCTTTATGAACAAAAATAATGCACTTCTCCACACATGTAGTGTACGTGTTTGCCCTATTTCATACACAGCTCTCCCATCTGCTATTGCACAGCAGCGTTCCTACCTGCCCCGTGCGGTGCGCAGGGTTCCCAGGTGTGTCTGCGGTGCGGGGTGTGTGCGTGCTGTGGGCAGGCTGGGCTTTACCGCGTACCCAGCATGCAAAGGAAATGAAAACAGTTCCAATTACTCAAAACTTCTGTTCTCCAAGGGTTATTCATAGTGTCTGCCTGTTGCCGCTGGGTGTCCCCCATTATGCTCCTGAGAGAAAAGCGTTTCTTTTCACACCACTGCGTGGAGTCAGGGTGTGCTCCTCTGCAGACAGCCCTCGCACGTCTGAGACACCTGTGCACCCCTGTGCGGGGAGTCATGGCAGGCTTCCGGGAGTGCAGGGAGCCCGCTGCTGCTTGACTGCTCTCAATTGTTCTGAGGAGACACTTTGGCAATTGTACAAGTTACAGAACTGAAAACCCCGCACCAATAGTTTAATAAATGCTACTTTCTACAACTTTGCTGTCTGTATAAGTAATTCCTAACTCAAACTACTTTAAGTTGAATTTTCTTGTCCTTCATGCAATAAACCATTATTCAACGACTACAATAATGACTTTTTGTCTTTCAGCTGAAATTATTTGATTCAAATAATGACGGGAAGCTGGAGTTAACCGAGATGGCCCGGTGAGTGAGGGCTGCGCCAATACTAACTGAAGCTGATCCTACCAAAATGCTAATCCATTAACGTAATGTTTTTCTCTCAAAAGGCTACTACCAGTGCAGGAGAATTTTCTTCTTAAATTTCAGGTATTTCTCTTTTTCTCTACCATAGATGGTATTTTCCTTGAACAGTTACAATATGGGAGAGTCGCTGAGGGAAACTCCATAAAGCTTACCAGCAGCATTTTAACCTTTGCTCCTTCTCTACCCTCCAGGGCGTCAAAATGTGTGGGAAAGAGTTCAATAAAGCTTTCGAGTTATATGACCAGGTAAAAGTTTGTTCTTATCTATAGTTCTTCAGAATTTGGAAAATGCTGAGGGGAAAACCCTCAGGCTCCAGGCTCCTATGAAAAGCAACATGAACTATTAGTCACCCAGCTGTCTCCTTCTCACCCAGGAAATGTATCGTGGTGTGTCCCAAATTAGGCAAATCTTGACACAAATCCCACACTCTAACTGAACTGCTATGAGGCTTTGAATAAGATACCAAAGTCCTCTGAGCCTCAGTTTCCTCACGTGTAAACAAAGACAGTCCCCCCTGTTCTGCAGGTGGGTGTTGGGGGGGGCGGGGGAAGGGGACTGATCTGGATGAAAATTCCAGCAGTTTCCTCCACCCAGTGAAAGGCTCTGTCGTGTGTGTGTGTGTGTGTGTGTGTGTGTGTGTGTGTGTGTGAGAGAGAGAGAGAGAGAGAGAGAGAGAGAGAGAGAGAGAAAAGCTGTTTGCAAGGTCACTGGTTAACCTCCTTTATTTGCTCTAAAGTCTCTACCCCTGGACCAAACCAGTATGACACCAGGCGGGTCACATGGCTTCCTCAGGCCTCCATGTCCCACTCCTATGAGCACGTTGGTGACCAGTTACCTCCACAGGAGGTGCTGTGACATGAAGTGAAGTGTTAAATGTAAGGCTCTTTGAAACGTTCATGTTACAAATGTAAGGTGTGGAATGAGAGGCGACTCTGGAGCAGTCAGACATGGCGGGGTCCGAGGGGTCAGGGTGCTCCCGGGACGGGGCCTGAGCAGGTCCTTCGTGTGTGTTGCCACATTGCCATGTGTCGGAGACCGGCTCTGCTTCTCCTCCCTCAGGACGGCAATGGCTACATCGACGAACACGAGCTCGACGCTCTGCTGCGGGACCTGTGCGAGAAGAACAAGCAGGTAACGCCTTCCCAGGCGGGTGCACGGAGCCATCCGGGGCAGCCACACCCATGTCTGAACTCGAAGCATTTAGGGAGGGCAGGAGTAGCTTTCAGTTTTTAACCTGACTTGGCAACTGGGATCAATGGATTTTTATTTATTTTATTGTTTATTAATCCTCACCTCAGGAGATTTTTCCATTGATTTTTAGAGAGAGTGGAAGGGAGAGGCACAGGGAGGAGAGAGAGAGACATTGATGTGACAGAGACACATCGACTGGTGGCCTCCCACTCGTACCCTGCCGGGGGCTGGGCATCAAACACGCAACCTTGACTGGAATCAAACCCATGACCCTTCAGTCTGCAGGCCAACACTCTAACCACTGAGCACACCAGCCAGGGCTGGGATCAATAGATGTTACAACCACTTGTGATTACCCAGCTCCTCTCTGGGACCTATGTAAGGAGCACCCCTACACACCCTCTCACCCGGCCATGCTGACTCCCTCCCACATTAACCAGGCGCATGCCCTCTGTGCTCTGTGCAGGACCTGGACATTAACAACATCCCCAACTACAAGAAGAGCATCATGGCCTTGTCCGATGGGGGGAAGCTGTACCGGACGGACCTCGCCCTCATTCTCTCTGCTGGGGACAACTAGAGCGTAGCCCGGCCACTCACTAGCGGTACACCTTACCTAAAAACTCCTGCGCGCGCGTTTCCTGTCATAGCTGTACATCTAACTGCCTACGATAACTGTCCCGGTGTGTGCACAATCCTTCCGCTTGTTTCTATCTGCTTGTAATGTACAGTTTTTGTAACCACAGGACTGAAAAGATTGTCTATGCTTAAGCCAGTCAATACACCCATTAAACATAACCTGGCACATTCCTGCTTTTGTACATGGAGTTGGACAGCATTTCCCTAAAAAATTCATCAGGATTAATCTCTACAACTTTAGTCACTGATGTGTTAATGCAAGTTTTTCACTGAAGCATTCTTAATTCAGACAATCACAGGTCAATCCCACAAAATTGTTCGAAGCTGTATCTCCAGTTGCTGGGAGGACTGTGCTTTCGCATCTAGAATACCCACATGTCCACCCGTAGTTAGTTAATGGGCCCCGGGAGCAGGATGTAGTCCGTGAGCCGCACGTCTCCTGCTTGACCTCACCACGTGCTGGTCAGGCGATTTGGTGACAAGACAGTGCCCGGCGGACGCCACACTGTGTCTGATCCATGAGCATCTCCCACACACTTGTTTCGGAGGACAGCCTCAGCCCACTTTCTAAACGGTTTGCACGTGTTGGGGATGACAATTATTCTAGAAAATGCTGTTTGATGTCGTGTCCTGTCCCCTCCGATTAAATCCCACATGCCGAGCAGCCTGGTGTCTAGTTTGTGTCCTTCCTGGACCTTCTTCCCACGCAGAACTTCTCACTCGGGTGGGTGGAGCGTCTCTGCTGCCTCCCAACGGCCCCTGTTCTCACTCTCCTTTCCCGACACCATGAGTCCTAGCTCAGCCCAGGCCGGTGGCTGAGGCTCTGGGCGCGTGTATCCCGTGACTTCGTCTTCCATGCTGAGATGAGCATTCGAAATAATTGTCTTTCTGTCTGCAAATAGTTTCAAGTGAGTTGAAATAACCCGTGAAGAGAAATGCTGTGGGACCCGTCTGGTCATAGGGAGAGGCGAGCATGGCCTGGCCGCACAGGCCGCTCCTGCCGCGGGCACCGCTGCACCCCCGGGCCCACTTCGGGGTCCGTCCTGAACTCAGCGCCGACTTTCTCAGTGAACAGAAATCACAGCAGAGAGTGAGTGTCCCTTCCCCGCAAGAATGGAGTGAGGACCTGCGCCCAGGAATGGAATTTCCGGGCCAGGCGGGCGGGCTGTGCGCTGAGGGTGGCGCTGAGGGTGGACGGAGGAGAGGGAGCGAGGCCCCTGCGTCTGTGTGGACACCTCGTCCCGGGTCAGCAGGTGGGGACGCAGGCGCTCAGACAGCAAATGTCACCTGCGACCCGGAGCTGCCCAACTCACAGAAGGAATACACACTTAGGGGTACACACTTAGGGGTACACACTTAGGGGTACACACTTAGGGGTACACACTTAGGGGTACACACTTAGGGGTACAAACCTTAGGAATACGAACCTAGGAATACACACTTTAGGAATAACAATTTGGAAATGTACATCAAGGGTCCTTAAAAGCTTTATAACCTTTGATTAATAATATTACTTCAGGAATCCATCGTGAGGAAACAATTCCAAATTTTAAAAATGTTTTATACCCAAGGAGTTCTTCACAGGTGTATATATTACACCAAAAAATAAAATAACCTAATTCCAAAAATAAAGTATGATAAATACAAGCAATGAAAGCCCTGGCTGGGTGCTTAGTTTATTGGAGCGTCATCCCACACACCAAAAGCTTGTGGGTTCAACTCCGGGTCAGGCACATACCTAGGTCGCATGCAGGTTTGATTCCTGTTGGGCAGGTACAGGAAGCAACCAATGTTTCTCTCACATGGATGTTTTTCTAAAATCCAATAAAAAATGCAACCTCGAGTGAGGCTTAATATATATATATATATAACAGTGAAATATGAAAAAATCATATTTATGAAAAAAAACAGGATCTGTTTTATCATGCAATCTCAATTTTTTTTTAAAGGGAGCGATTATGAAAACATTGGGGGAAAACAGTATTTATAAAGTTATAAAACTGTGAACACAGTATTAATTTAACAAAAATATGGATATAGTTGCACTGGTAGAAGCAGTGGGAGGGAGGAGTGCAGAGTCCAGAAGGAGGCACAGCTCCGAGCTGAGATGGTTCCCGCCAGGAGACCTGCAGAGCGGGCACCCAGGAGGCCTTGCCTGTCAGTTAGACAAACGATAACTTTCATATCAATAAGAATTCAATGAAAAGGCCGAGGCGGAAAGAGTGTCTGAAAGGACTGACAGAGCCCTCTTTGGGAGTGAGTTCTCGCCCTGCCTATTGTTGTGTATTCTCACCTTGTCCACGCTAACCAGTCTCAGGAGGTCAGGACGTGCACCGTGGAGGCGGCACCTCGATGGTGAGAGGAGGGAAGGGGCGCCCAGGGCCAGAGCTGGTGCGGGGGATGGCGAGCCACTTCTCCCCAATAGAGCACACCCGGCTGCGGACACGCCTCACGTGCGACACCCTCCCCTCGGAGGAACTGCAGCGGGAAGCGGGGCCCTCCTGGGAGCGGGGCCGAGGGGACAGGCAGCTGCTGAGCATGACTGAGCCATTCCTAGGAAAGCAAAACAGTCCTTTTAAAACATAAGCTCGAAATTATAGCAGCAGAGACTTGAGGCTGTGGCTTTCTTATTATTTGATTCTCAGGATGACAAATCCGTCAAGGCAAATACGAACTTAAATAAAAATGATACACAAGGACACTTCTAAGCTCTGAGCGTCTTCCTACAGAGAATCTGGTTTTCTTCTGAGGCGGGGACGGAAAGCGGCCTCCCGGGTCCCCATCTCTGAACTCTGGAGGAGATGAGTCACCTCCCCACACAGGGCCCCTGGGAGTGTGTTCATCACCCACCAGAACTCACTCTTCAGGGGTGTCTATCCTGGCGGCCAGTGAGTTCTAAGGGCAAAGGCTGCAGATCAGTCAGACACCGAACAGAAAGCCAGCTACAAAGGGATGTGTCCGAATGAATACTGAGCGACCCAAAGAAGACTCGCAGGCCCATGGAAAGGCAACAAGCAGACGGCAGAGTCCATTAGGCCCCCCCGACCTCGACTGCCTTCCTCTCAGGCCCCATCCCTACAGGCCGATTTACCTGCCAGCCCGGCCTCCCGGTGCTTCCCACTGCCTCGCACGCCTCACCTCTGTCAGAGCCTTCACTCACTCCCCCCTTTTTCATGTTTAAAATAATTTTGAAGGAACCAGATCCCATCTCATGAATCTTGAATATACAATGCCTACCTACCACTGGCCTGGTACACAGCACACACTCAGTGAATGTTTGTTAATTAACAATTTATTAGACTTGAAAATATTCAAAAGAGTATAGGCAGTTTGTGTCGTTTCCACGGTAACCCAGAGGCAGGCCAGGGTGTCTCAGGAGCCTTTTGTCTTCCTGATCAGCTCTTCCATGGTGTCCCACTGCTCCTTGGTGACCTGACAAGAAAAGAAAGGGCAGCTTAACGTGTCCTCACATGTGAGAGCTCAGCGTCCAGCTGCTAATAGCAGATGATATCCACGAAATGGCATTACCTTCTGCAGGCTGTTGAATTCTCCTGAGATAAATACTTCCTCCCCACCATCAAATCTAATGACCTAAAAATAAAAAATAAAAACTCTGAAATCAACTCCTTTCTCAAGTTTCTGAATCATTAGCCACTTTCTCATCCTTAGGTCTCTCAATCAAATGCCAAATTTTAAAGACAGACTTGATTAAACCTAAATTGATTTATTTTCTTTAGAATCTTCTTTCCACCATCTCTACAATTTCAAATTGTACCCAATCTTAAAGGCCCGTCTACCAGAGTAATTTTTAATTAATAAAATGAATTTATCAATAAATTGATTCCATAGGCTGAGCAATGTATATTACTACTTGATATTATTTAAAGCTAAGTAACGATTTCAGCCACATTCGTATTCAAGATCATTAGGATCGGTTCCACAATGTGCCTCCCTCCGCCTCCCCCTCCCAGCGTGAGGAGGCCTCCGTGCTTACGGCCCCATTGATCCAGGAAGCGTAGTCGCTGCACAGGAAGGCGGCGAGGTTGGCCAGCTCCTCCACGGTCCCCAGCCGGCCGCAGGGGATCCTGTTCACCATCTCCTTCTCAAACGCTCCGGTCGGGTCCAGGCGGCTGAAGGCACCCTTGGCGATAAAGGAAATCATCAGGATGCATTTTTAATGCCACGCCTTTCCCACTGAAGGAGCAAACTGGCATGAAGTGGCATGTTACTAGGGCTACCTGTTCATGCCTTAGGCTTTGTAAGCAACAGATAATTTTGCCAAATTCTTCCACAATAACTTTAGTTCAAAAGAGATCATTTTGTCTCATATTGACCTAAAAAAAATCACCTGAGAGTATAACCTTTTTAACCTGTTTCCTCAGCTGTAAAATCAGGACGCCTATCGCGGCTGCCTCACACCATCACCAAGCGCCCCCAGGAGAGGCTAGGACTGCCCTCTGATGCGCACGAGCCCAGGTGGGGCTGGGGCCCCTGTCGCATGGCTTAGCAAACACAGAAAATGCCTCAAATAGCACATATTTAAGAGGACACTCCTTTTCTTCTCCTTTCTTCTCAAATAAGAGGAAAGAAGAAAACAAGTGTGCAGGGATATGAACAAGTAGACCCAGAGAGAGGAAAGCGCGGTGCAGCTTGTCCATCGCCAACAGCCCCTGCCTCCGGGGATGCCGAGGAGCAGACGGGGTGATTGCTGCCCCGGAGCCTGGAGGGGACCCGTCCTCGGTGACAGGCTGCTCCCGGGAGCCGCCGCCACCCGGGCAGGTGTGACGCACCCGGGACACAGAGGGCGCCGGCCCAGCCCCGCTCCACCGCACTCACTCGGGAGCTTCTATTCTGTGGTTTCCTCTTTAAAAGGACATGCTTGTGATTCGCACCTCACTACAAACACTGTGGCAGATGCTTCTGGATCTTTCTCAGCTTCCTCAGCACCTTTGCACAAAGTAGGCACTCAATCAATGCTGAGTAAATAGTAAAACGCAGAGGTCCTTCCTGGGTGGAGACCCTGGAGGAAGCTCCGTGAGGAGAGGGCTGAGCACAGGGCCACCTGGGCACGTGCTTGGACATAAGCTTTCGAGTTGCCAAACGAGCTATTCAATGACACTGCACACACTCAGGCGGTTGTCCTGAGCGTTTTCCACCCTTGAAACTGCATAATACCCAATACAGCCATTTATTTCTGTGTTAACATTTAACACCCCGAACCGCCTACAACCCAAAGACTCCTTAGCATCATCGCCCCACGTGTTTCGACACCTGGAACAAGTTACCGAGCTTCACCTCAGTCTCCAAACTACATCCAGACCGGGCTTAAGTCCCTGCTTTCCGTGGGAGCCGGTGTGAGGGCGCCGCACCGGGGTGGCGAGGGAGCGCGTTAGCCAGAGGGGCTCACCGGCGGCGCGCAGTGAGTTTGGGGAGTAAACAGGCCCAGACGAGGGTCAGAGCAGTGCTCCCTAGACTGGCCCAGGCCTCCAGGTAATCCCCACAGCACCTCACAATCCCCTTATTCTTTTAAACAGCAGTCAAAGTCAGACTCTTTAAAACAGTAAAAATTAAGAACTATAAGATGGAGCAGAGCACTGAAGCAAATCAGACAAAATGCCACAACTGATGGCAGGAAAGCTCTCAGGAGATGAGACACTGAGTCGC